GCTGCTAAAGGACATTGTCCAAGCTTTTTAGCAATCTCTTTTGCGGTATGTTCTAGCTTCATGCGCAATAGCTGGTCTTCGATTTCTGCTCCAGAGAAAGCATAGTGTTTGAGGAGTGCCAAGAACTCTGTACTGTCCATATTTTCCAAACGAACAACTTGTTCACAGCAAACAGCGGCCGGAAGCATTTCGAGTCGAGAAGTCACCAAAATTCTGCTTCCCGACTGTTTAGAGACTAATGGAGCCAGGAGTTGCTCCCACTCAGTCTCACTATCAGATTTTTCAAACCAAATATCATCCAAGACAAGTAGGAATTTTTGTGACCCTTGTAATATATCATGTAATTTGCATTGGAGAGTATCGAGATTATCAAGACGTGGGCACTCCCCCTTTTTTGCGGACTCAATAATCTCTCGCGTGTGACAATGGACATCAAGTTTGCGTGAGATGCAGACCCACATCTTGACATCAAAGCATTCTTCTATCCTCTTGTCATTGTAGACATACTGTGCTAAGGTGGACTTCCCCATTCCTCCCGCTCCAACAATGGCTAAACCTGAGTACCTAGATGAACTTTCCTTGTCAGCTGTTGTCTTGCCGAGAAGAAAATCTACTATACGATCACGATCCTTGTCGCGACCGAAAACCTTTGAAGTGGGTAGTGATGTGGTTGTGGGAACAATGGTTGCTGCGACAGCTGGCCACTCGGCGGTGTTGCTGTGTGGTAAGCCAAGAAGATCCCGAAGCTCCTTGGCTTCTGTCAGGATAGCTTTGAGCTCGTTCATCTTGCTAATTAGCCTTCTGTTCTCAGGGAGCAAGTTGCGTGCCCTGCTCTTAGCAGTATGAAAAGGCTTCATGATTGTTGATGCAATGGAGGAGGTTTCATGCTCCCCTACCAAGGGATCCTTCCCGCTCTTGGCCTTGCGCTTGAGGAGGTTGTACTCATGCTCGTCCACTAGGTCCTCGGCATCATAGAAGGCTTCTTTGAGACGCCGGAGCCATGCCTCCAGCTTGCCCCTGTGGGGGCTCTTTTCCGCCGCTTGAATCACCAGTTCAAACTGTGGTAGGACGGTGGCTTCTAACTGTTGGAGCTCACGCACCATGTCCACACTGAGGTAATCTGAAGCTTTGGGAAGAACCTTGTTGACAATGGGCGATGCTGCCCACCTTAATCCAGCGAGCGCCATGTCGGCCATGGAATTGGAGTGGTTTGTGCTTCTCCTTTGTGGGTGTGGACTGGAGAGATCTTGGATGAATATTTCCAGGTGAAAAGAAGAGGACAAGTGATTGGCAATGGCACGAAATGATTGGGTTCAGCTGGGAAATGTAAACTATGGGAAACAAGCAAAGAGTAAAATTAATATCTTTTTTTTCCTTCCTTTTTTTTGGTTTTCTATATTTTTTTCTTTTCTTTTGTCGTAGGAGTGAAATGAACAAGTAGAAGATGCAGGGTGCAAGGGTCTGGTGGCGAAGAGAAAGATTGAACAGGAGAAGAAAGATGAATGGATGGACGATGGAAGCTGTTTTCTTTTTTATGTATGGATGAGGTGCTTCTGCAGAAGGCAAATTACTGAGAAGGACAGCAACAGGGTGAAGAAAACCTGGAATTGGGAAGACACATAGAATTAGTGAATCTGATTAGAAAAATGAAGACAAACTGATTATTTTGCTTTCTCGTGTGCTACGGCACACAGAGCGAAATAGCTAGTGTTAAGTTAACACAACAAACTAAGAGTAGAGATTTATGATCTTACACGGTGTTGCGGGATGAAGTTACACCAAGTGAATCAAGGGCGCGGGGAACAGAGGTTGCCGGAGCCGGTGTCGACAACGAGCGCAAGCGTGGCCGGAGTGGTGGACGGGATTCTGGAACAAACACTGCACTTCAAGAGAACAAACAGGTAGTTAGCCAAGAATAAGGGATACACGATGGCTGCGAAGGAGGGAAGCAGCTCTGTCGGCTGGGGAAATCAGGAATAATACCGGAAAAGCTTAGCTGATGCCGTGCTGATTCCTGGTGATGATTTTTTTTAACAGATTGCTGGTGATGATTTGTTCTGTGGTTTCACGTAGAGGAGACTGATGGTGCTGCTGGCTGCTGAGGGTCTACTGGCCTTCTGCTGCTAGCTGGGAAAGGAAGAAGCAAGGAAAGAGGAAGGTGGAGAAAGAGGAGTAGACAAGGGCTATCGATTGGGGCTGCTCTGAAATAGGAGTACTAGTATTATTGTTCATTGTTGAACAAGGCCAATTATTATTGGGACCTGCATTTGGAGTGAAGTACTAGTCACCATAAACACAGACAAAGGAAGCTCCTGGGTAGCTTTACCGGGTTTCGTTTCTATCCTTGAGAAAGCAACGGTTTGACCGTATTCTCCCTTGCAATAAATGAATGAAGTCCGAACATGGAGCAGACAAAGTCTATGAATTTATCAAAAATGTTCGTCCTGTTCATTTGACTTATAAGTCGTACTTTTTTAGCCAACAAATAATATTTTTCTCTCGTAATAAATCAGTCAACAGTACTTTCAGTCATGACCTTGTACTACTTGGATTGGATGAGTTATCGTGCAATGCTTTTTATCCTTTAGCTGAGCACTAGCATAGGCATCACAGCAGGAGTTAAGATTCTTGCTTTCCAGATCTGCAGTTTTGCAACTCACACATTGCCTAAACAATTTGTAGGAAAAACAAGTCTTTGCCAAGAACAGCATTTGCAACTGAAACACTGTAAACATAGCCCAAATGAACAGCAAGGCGCACATACGGCCTCCTCACCTATATCCAGGAAACGGTGGAGTCTGGTCACCTCTCACATGGAAAATCACATAAGAAGAATTTTTTTATTCCATAACCCATATAATTCACCATATATGAACTGATAAAAACACAAAAGGATAGAATTTTTTTGACTAACCACTGACCAGTGTCTTGCACTAGTACTGCTGCTTTGTGAGAGGAATCAGCCGTGACGCCAGGCTCGTCGGGGCTGTCCTAGGGTTGCCGGTTCCTGGAGCACGGCCACGCGCCCCGCAACTGCCGCAGTAAAAGTAATCCCCGAGGCGGCGAGACCTGACTCCGGTCAGCCCGGCGACACGGAGGGTTCGGCGCTCGGCCTTGTGCGGCGCTGGCACTGGTGTTGGCGCCGGAACTATAAATGTCCATGCAGCCCGAGGCACGACGGCCCTGCACGAAGCACGCTATTTTGGCCTGGCCCAAACATGGCCCGGCCTGATGGTTAGCTGGCCCGGCCCGGTGTTGCAGGCCGTGCTTGGGCCGCTACTCAGGCACATGGGCTGGCACGGCACGGCCCGACTTTTACAATTAGGCACGACTTTGGCCCGATGACTACAGTGGCCTGGCAGTCTGCTAAGAGCCCAACTTCATTTCCTGGTAACCCTACTGCCTACTTCATTTCCCCCTCCCTCCCTCTCCTCCGCCGCCGCACTCCCTGCGAGTCGCTCTTCCTCGCCCCCGCGTCCCCGCTCGTGCTTCGCGGTCGCGGCAGCCACATCGCTCCTCCACGCCCCAGCGCCCCCCTCGCGCAGCCGTAGGCGCCACAGCGGTGGCAAGCGCGGTGGCCGGCCTCCACGCCTCCTCTCACGCGACTCCTCCCTTCGAGCAGCCTCATCGCTCCTCCTCACCCCCCTCGCGCAGCAGCAGGCGCAGCGCACGTGGTGGTGGCAAGCGCGGTGGCCGGCCTCCACGCCTCCTCCGGATCTAGGTCTAGGGCGTCGGTCTCCTCCACATTCGGCTCGAGGTTGATGATGTCGGCCACCTCCGAATCCAGCTCGAGGTCGAGGACGTCGGCCACCTCCGGATCCAGCTTGACGGCATCAGACTCCACCACGCCTTGCGGCCTTGGCCTCCTCCTCCCTCTCCTCCGTTCCCACCCTCTCTCTCTCGCTCTCACTTGTTTCGGGCTACGGGCTAGCCCGATCCCCGCCTCAGACCGTGCTACTCGGGCCGGCCCGGCCTGAAAAACGGCCCAGCAGGCTGTGCCTGGGCCGTTGGTCAGGCACGACGCTTGCCTCGGCACGGCCCGGGTGGCACGGCGTGCCGTGCCGGCCCGACCCCCTTCGGGCCGTGGTTGGCATGGGCCCATGCCGAGCTGGACCGGGCCGGCCCGTTGGCCATCTATAGCTGGAACACAAGAGAAGGGCCGAACGGGGGACGGGGAAACGCTGAACAAAACAGGGACGAATATTGCGGTATTGGATTCCGTAGTACAAACTCATCTATTTGGGCCGGCCCATCTCGTCTTCGTCGCTCATTTGAAGCAGAGTAGCAGAACAACGGCAACGTGCTCCCCTTCCTCTGCTTGAATAAGTTAGGCACATGAAAATGAAAACTCAGAGCACACATGACATGAGCAAACACCAACGACGACGACAGAACCAAAGAAAATACGATTTTATTACAAACACACCACTCGTCGTTGGCAATCGCTGTTTTCAATATATATTCGAAACTTTGCAGAGCCACATGAGAGTATAGCTGTTCTTATTACAAACAATCGACCAATTGGCCTCAAAGCGATAACCACAGTTTTTTATCTTCATCGTTGGAGGCTTATTCTACCATTAGAGAAATATGTGCTGGCAATTATTAATGAACTACGAAGGAATAACAGGACAAGTGAAATGGTATAGGAGGAACAAACACCTGAGAATCGATGGGACTGACGGAGGCCTTCCAGTTCACGGTGGCCAGGGCGCCGGGCAACATAGGGCGTGTTCGGCTGGCTTTAAGCCGGCTGGCTGGTTGGCCAGCCAACTCACGGCGAACAGGCCCATAAGCAGCGATGGGTTACCTTTTGGCTTGAACTGGGTGCCGCCTGCTGCGGAAATGACTTAGTGACCTCGAGGTGGCTGTTTGGAACATTGAAGTATGTCAAATATTGGAAAACAAAATTAGTCCTGGAGAATCGAGAATGACAGTGGAGCCTTTACCTTCTTATTTCTTTTCACACAAGTGGAAAGTCTAAAGAAGCAAGTTCAATACTAGTAGAAGGTCTTCCAGCGGATGTGCGAAATCTTTGGCCAGCTTTCTCCATCAGGTTCTCGGCAGTTCTTCTTCAAGACGGGGCAACCCCATATACTTATGCGCTGGAGGGAGGACGGCAGATCTGGTAAAGATGTTATGTTGGGGCAATCAGAGATACCAAGCATCTGCAGACTGGAGAGAAATTTCAGATTTGTTGGCAGGGACTCCATTTTGCACCTCCAAAATGACAGCGTCTTGACATATGAGAGATTGGCAGGTTCTTCAAATGAAACTGACGGCTCCTTGCAATCATGAAGACAAAGATACGACGGGACTCTAAACCCTTCAGCCATGAGCATGTGGTTGAGCAATACGGAGCTACTAACAGTGAGCGCTTCCTGGACACGGAACTGTGAGATGTGCTTGGCAGTGAGGTTTGGAACATCTACCAAACTTAGGACCTTAAGGTGCAGGGAAGACAGGCCTTCAAGCGAGCACAGATCAGGGAGACCCCATAGGTATAATGTTTCAAGGGAGGTAAGGTGGCCAATCGATAAGGATGGGGAGCTTCTGCAACCATAAATGGAAAGATATTTCAGGTGTGGGAAGCCATTAATAAATTCTGCTCCACGTGCCAGCTCTAAACAAGGGCAATCCGTACAGTTAAGACTGGAAAGAGATGGAGCAGCATGTAAGCCCCCCAGTGATCTGAGACACCAACAAGCAGTGATTTCAATGCTCTCAAGCTTTGTCAAATGCTCATACACCTCCTGTGACGGAAGTGCAGTTAAGACCATATTATAACCCAATTCTAAGGTTCTCAGTGAAGTGAGGCCACCAAGGCAAATAGCCAAACCTTCATCTGTAATACTACATGAAGAAAGACAAAGTTCACGAATTCCAGATGGTAGAACCAGCGGCAGCTCCGTGGTCCTTCCATAAATGTCTCTTATCCTCTGCTCATGGCAAAAAAGCCATGCCTTGATGATATTTTCTTTCACCGATATTATATCTCCTTCCTCTAGGCCACTTTCAATAATTTGAAGATGTTGTGATATATCATCACCCATCTGCGTTGTCAACTGCTTCAGAAATGAATTGTCCACTGATAGTACCCTCCTAATAAGTGATCCTGAATCCACCTCCCACATCGATGAAAGTTTAGTCGCCAGGTCATCTGCCTTCATTATATTTTCCCTCAAGTCATGTTGCTCGAGCTGATTTTTGGTGACAAATGTAAGCAGTGGGCAGCCGTGGATTGACAAATTTGTAAGGCTTGCTGGAAGACATGATAATGTCTTCAAATTTGGAACGTCCCGTAGATACAGACAAGAGCAATGCTGAAGGAGCTCTGTATCTGGTGGTAGGCCTTCTAGCAAGCTGCAGTTATCAAGCTCAAACCTTTCCAAATTTTCAAAATAGGATCGCTCAAGTAACCACCTAGGATATGTGCCAGATTTGTAACCGTTGATTGTGAGCTCACTCAGTTGGGGTGGCGGTCTCAGACCTTCTAGAATATCCAAATGCAGAATATCCATTGCATCCATGCCATCCTCGGAACTCCACTCAAGCGTCAACTTTTTAAGGCGATATTTCTGATATAGCTTCGACTCTAAGGCTTCATCCTTTCCAATGACATTCTCAAGATTCTTTACTCTTAAACTGCCACCAAGCTCATTCAAGTCCTTCAGCTGTCGCAACTCATATCCTTGCTTCTTTTGCACAGAAAAGACATATATCTGTTGTAACGAAGTAAGCTTGCCAATGTTGGGAATTTGATCGTTGCACCCTTCCAGATGCCGTAACTTACTGAAATTACAAACTTTGTCAGGCAACCTCCCCACACTGTGGTTTAACCGAAGTAACTGTAAGTGGTAAAGAGCACATAATGATCTAGGCAATTCAGAAATCGTTGTCATTCTGAGGTCCAAATACCGAAGGTGCTTCAGCTCACCAACAGATTCAGGTAACATGCTGCTGTTGTAAAATGACAAATGCAATACACGCTCCTTCTTCAGGTTCTGCAGTATCTGATAAAAAATAACAGTTGCATTATCCATTAGTGGATCGATGCAGATAACAGTGTGTAAATGCTGTAGCTTGTAGATAATTTGCTTATGCCTTTGCATACTCTCAACAGAAACAGATAAATGTCGAATCGTGCATGGTATTTCTGTCATATTATCATCTTCTAATCTGAAGCAGTCTTCTCTAGAGAGTGACTCTGCCAAATCATGAAGGATGTCATGCATGACATAGTAATCACCAAAATACCTTTCAGAAACCGATTGGAAGAAAGATCCAGAGACCATCTCATTCAAGTAAGCCCTCCCAACATCTTCCATTGTCCACCTACTCATATTGCACGAATCAACAAAGCCTTCTGCCACCCAAAGGTGAACCAACTCATCAGGTCTATATCTATGACCTTTTGGAAATAAGCTGCAATACAAGAAGCACCTCTGTACACGTGGATCTAACTTCTCATAACTCCACAACAGAGATGTGAAGGGCTCACTTAAATCGTTGAGCTTTAGTGCAGCTTTCCATTCAGTGATATCTTTTTTTCTGCTCAATCTGGAACCCAGAACTTTTGCTGCCAAAGGACATTTTCCAAGCCTTTTAGCAATCTCCTCAGCAATATGTTCTAGCTTTGTCCGCAACAGCTGGTCTTGAATTTCTATTCCAGAGAAAGCATGGTGTTTAAAGAGACCCAAGAACTCAGCATCATCCATGTTTTCCAAACGAACAACTTGTTCACAGCATACAGCGGCCGGGAGCATTTCACCTCGAGAAGTCACCAAAACTCTGCTTCCCGACTGTTTAGAGACTAATGGAGCGAGGAGTTGCTCCCACTCTGTCTCATTATGAGATTTTTCAAACCAAACATCATCCAAGAGTCAAGACAAGTAGGAATTTCTGTGACTGTTGCAGTATGTCACGTAGTTTGCACTGGAGAGTATCAAGATTATCAACACATGGGCACTCCCCCTTTTTCGCAGACTCGATAATCTCCTGTGTGTGACGTCGCACATCAAGTTTGCGTGAGATGCAGATCCACATCCTGACGTCAAAGCATTCTTCAATCCTCCTGTCATTATAGACATACTGTGCTAAGGTGGACTTCCCCATTCCTCCCGTTCCAACAATGGCCAAACTTGAGTACCTCGATGAACTTGCCTCTTCAGTTGTCGTGTTGCCGAGAAGAAAATCAACTATACGATCACGATCTCTGTCGCGACCGAAAACCTTTGAAGTGGGAAGTGATGTTGTTGTAGGAACAACGGTTCCAGGTACAGCTGGTGTCCAGTCGACGGTATTGCCATGTGGTAAGCCAAGAAGATCGCGAAGCTCCTTGGCTTCAAGCAGGATATCCTTGAGTTCTTTCATCTTGTTAATTAGCTTTCTGTTCTCTGGCAACAAGTTGCGTGCCCTACTCTTAGCAGCACGAAGTGGTTTCATGATGGTCGATGCAATGGAGGAGGCTTCATCCTCCCCTACCATGGGATCCTTCCCACTCTTTGCCTTGCGCTTGAGGAGGTTGTACTCATGCTCATCCAGCAGGTCCTCAGCATCATAGAAGGCTTCTTTGAGCCTCCGGATCCATGCCTCCAGCTTGCCCCTGTGGGAGCTCTTCTCTGCCGCTTGAATCACCAGGTCAAACTGTGGCAGGACAGTGGCTTCTAGTTTTTGGAGCTCACGCACCAAGTCCACGCTGAGGTAAGCTGTAGCATCAGCTAGGAGCTTGTTGATGATTGGCGATGATGCCCACCTTAAGCCAGAGAGCGCCAAGTCTGCCATGGATGCAGTGGTTTGTGCTTCGCCTTCTTTTCTGAGCGAAGAGATCTTGGATGTAAGTGTTTCCAGATGAAAAGAAGATGACAGAGTGAATTGGTAATGGAAGGAACACAATAGATGAATGGATGGACGGTGCGAATCAGAAAGAAAGCTGGGTTGTTTTTTAGTATGGATGAGGTGCTTCTGCAGAGGGGAAATAACTGGTAGGGACTGCAATGTAATCGGAGGAAAATTTTGAACCAAGATGCAAGTTTTTCCAGATGAAAAGAATAGGACAAAGCGAAGCACGAAATGTTTATGTTTTGCAGGGACCTAAATTAAGCAACGATGGGAAAAAAAATTGAAGGCGAAATACTGTTTTTCTTTTTTTTTTTTTTTGGGGGGGAGGGGATTTTCAAGTTTTTGTTTTTACAGCACGGACGAAATGAATGAGTACAAGAAATGAACAAGTAGATGATGTGGGAAAAAGAAAAGGCGTCTAGTGACCGAGAAAATCAGGATAAGGTGGATGAAACATGAACAGAATAGATGAAAGGATGGACGATGGGAAGCGAGAAACAAGCAAAGAGTACAATTAATATCTTTTTTTTTCCTTTTTTTGGTTTTCTATATTTTTTCTTTTCTTTTGTCGAGGAGTGAAATGAACAAGTTGAAGATGCAGGGTGCAAGGGTCTGGTGGCGAAGAGAAAGATTAAACAGGAGAAAAAAAGATGAATGGATGGACGATGGAAGCTGTTTTTTTTTTTTATGTATGGATGAGGTGCTTGCAGAAGGCAAATTCTGAGAGAAGGACAGCAACAGGGTGAAGAAAACCTGGAATTGGGAAGACACATAGAATTAGTGAATCTGATTAGAAAAATGAAGACAAACTGATTATTTTGCTTTCTCGTGTGCTACGGCACACACACAGTAAATAGCTAGTGTTAAGTTAACACAACAAACTAAGAGTAGAGATTTATGATCTTACACGGTGTTGCGGGATGAAGTTACACCAAGTGAATCAAGGGGCTGGGAGCAGAGGTTGCCGGAGCCGGTGTCGACAGAGCGCAAGCGTTGCCGGAGTGGTGGGACGGGACTCTGGAACAAACACTCGCACTTCAAGAGAACAAACAGGTAGTCACCAAGAATAAGGGATACGCTGGCTGCGAAGGAGGGAAGCAACTCTATCGGTGGGGAAATCGGGGAATAATACCGGAAAAGCTTAGGCGATGCCGTCTTTGATTCTCGGTGATGATCCTTTTTTAACAGATTCTTTGGTGATGATACATTACGTGGTTTCACGAGAGAGAGCTGATGGTGCTGGCTTTGGGTGCTTTGAGGGTCTACCGGCCTTCTGTGCGCTTTCATTGGGAAAGGAAGAAGCAAGGAAAGAGCAAGGTATGGTATGGATATAACTCTTTTAGCATTGGTTTGAGGTAAAATACTGTAGCCCCCTCCCGCTGAGCCCTCCGCCCCCTCCCGCCGGTGGCAACTCCGGCCCCGGCGTCCACCCCCACCATTGCTGTTGGTCCTTCTGACCACGCTGACCATGCCTCAGTTGTCACTGGTGGTTCTTTGGACCGTGGCGAAACCGCTACGAAAGTTAGCTAACCGGCAATGGAGCACGGCTCTCCCTCCTGTCGGTCATGGGCTGACGAGGCCGACGAGGAGCTTCCGTCACCGCGGTCCCTTGGTGCGGGGTCGCCGGGTGCGTTCGTAGGGAGCCCCTCCGCTTCCGTGCTTGCTTGCGACCTTGGGGAACATGTGTCATTCACCGACTCGGAGACCTATTCCGACTCAGAGCCTCCCTCGCCGCCGACGCCGGGGAGGGGCAAGGCGATTGCGGAGTCACAGGGACGACGCCAGCATGCGCGTCGCCGTCGCTGTCGTCCGCGGGCTGTGGAGGGCTTCATGGCTGCTGCGCGGCGTTCCCTCCCGTAGCCTGCCCCGGCGACCGCCTCGCCGCGTCGTCGTACCTCCCCTGCGACGCACCCTGCCCGCACCATCGTCGGGCCGGATGCGGACGTGTTCTTTGAGGTTCACAGCCGTCGTTGCTGGCGTCGTCGTTTGCCACCGAGGCTGTCGCGGCCAGTTCCTCCGGCTCTTCATGGCCTCTGCTTCAATTGTGTGGCCAACGACCATGTGAAGGCGGATTGCGTCTACCCGGCGAGATGCTTCAACTGTCGTCGCGAGGGCCACCGATCCTTCCAATGCCCACTCCCTTCGGGGCTCGGCAAGCGGGTCGCGCTTCGCCGCCATGTCTTTGGGGACCGGTCGTCAGTCGCCACGCCGACGCCAAACCCGTCGCCGTCGTGCCGCCGGATGATATGGCCTCGACGATTTGTTTCCACACGGACGCTCGGACGTTAGTCCCAAGGTCTTTGTGCTCCCGACCCCGCCCCTCGGCCTCACGGTGGACTCTCCGTTTAACCCGATGGTGGTGTGGCGGCCATGGCGCGGCGGCTGTTGGGGGGCTCGGAGGACCGCCCGTTGCGCCGCGCGTCGCTTTCGGGGTTCGTCGTCATTCCTCGCTCCGCGAAATTTACTGTGTGGCGAGGATGCGCTCGGCCTTGTTCTCGGTCGCCACAGTGGGTGGCACTAGGCCCGCGGTGTCACCCGCCATGGTCAACAGCTACCTCTTCGCGAGGTTCGGCTTGTCAGTGGACGACACGGCGGTCAGCCATCATGATCTAGAGGATTTTGTCGTGCGATTCAGACGTCGTGAGGATAGGGAACGAGTGCTTGCCGCCCCGGCGATGGGAGCTCCGCTTCCTCTGGTCCGACGACCATGGAGTAGAACCTCGATGGCCAGCGGAGGTTCATTCGGATACTGCTTTGTGATGGTTGGGATGACGCGTGTGCCCCTTACGTCGCGGAGAGCGCCGAGGCGGCGTGAGACCATCCTCACTCATCGTCGCGCGTGGTGGTCGAGGTCGTGCGGCCGCGAGGGTGTGCCGCCGACGGCGACCGTGAGTACTTCATCTCTCGGCCGGTGCTCGCACCTCGGTTCATCCCGGACGAGAAGATCATCTTCGTTCCGGAACCGCGCATGCCTAATCCCGTGGAAGGCGCGCTTGAGGAGCTGCCCGGCTTGCGCTACTTGGTGCGGATCAGGCTGGTCGATTTCCAGGACTGGGACTGTCGTTGCCGTCCCTGGACGTTGCTGATCCGGGTCCCGAGGAGGATGATGACGCCTCGCTAGATAGCAACATCAACAGGTATCACCCAGGTTTGGATGATGGCCCGCCGCGGAGGTCCCCTACTGATTTCGGTGACCCATCTGATGACGATGACGGCTCCGGCGATAATGCGCAATCGTTTTCACCCGGGCTTCGACTGCTGCCGTGGCGGTACGTCGACGGGGTATGGTTGGGTCGTCTTCCCCAGTGTGGGCGGCCCATCCGAGTCGCTGGTCAGTAGGGCCACGGAGGCCACTCTTAGGTCGTTGGTGGTGGGCTCGGTACCCTGCCCGCTGCGGGGTGGCTGCCTCATGGGTGCTGGGACCGGAAGCTATGGACGTGGCGTGAATCGGGTGGGCTCACGCCACGGGATCCCAGACGTCCCATCAGGGCGTGACCCTGCCCCAGCTGTCAACGCCGAAGGCTATGAGACAGCCTTTTCAGACCGGTGCCAAACACTCGCTGCACAGGACTTCATCGCTCCAGCGGCTGAGGATGGGTTCGGGGCCCTTCCACACCGGGTGGACCCGATGGAGTTGGAGGCGGAGTTGGGGACCCCGTACCAGACGAACCGGCGCTCTCCTGATCTGATGCCGCACCGATCGGCCCAGGGGAGCGGCCCACATAACTTGAAAAACTACATCGATGTTAGTCCAGGCCTGAGAGGGGAAAGGGTCCTTCTGAGGCCCATCCGAGAATATGGGCCGGTGTTACGTTGTCCGGCGAACGGGACGGAACAAGCGGACCCAAAGTTTCGGGAGCTCATGGAACCAGAGCTCGCCAGTCTGGAGTCGACGTTGGGTTCGCCGGTCGCCGCAACAACGTCCGCAGCACTGGGAACGTCCAACGTCACTACGCGGGCGGACGCTACGCTTGGAACGTCTGCTGCGGCGCGGCAGGCCGAAATTGTGGCTCGGGTCTGCATCCCTTGGACTCGCCTATCATTAAGGCGGGGCCAAAGCTACGCAAGTCAAGGACGCCTGCAACAGTGCTGTCTATTAGGAGGAGGAGTCGTCTTGCGGCCAAGCCGTGGGCGGCCAATGCCACGCTGCAGGCATAGTCCGTCCTAATGCAGAAGCTCAGACTGGTGGATAATCTCCCACCAGCGGATTTGGAGGCGTTCGAGAAGTATTTGGTAACCTTCGCAAAACCGTTAACTCCATCGAAGCTGGAGGCACTGCAGATGCTTGTCGTGCCTGATTTTGATCCCGTGGCCATGAATCTCAACTTGGCCGAGTTGGAGGGGGAGGCGCTGTAGTGGTGCCTAGGACCTTTTTCAGTCACGCCCTTTGTTTCTCAATGATATCATACAACTGCTGTGTTTGGAATGTGCGTGGGCTGAATGGCCGTGCCCGTCGCAATGTCGTTAGGGACCTAGTGACCCAGGAGTGCGTTTCTCTCGTGTGTCTACAGGAGACTAAGCTCTCCGTCATCTGTAACTCACTGGCTAATGAAATACTGGGATCTATGTTCGACTATGACTATCTGCCGTCTGCCAATGTAGCCGGGGGTATCTTATTTGGCTGGCAACGAGAACAATGGGTGGTTTCCTAGGTGGATAAACGTCGCTTCTTCTTATCGGCTAAGGTGGCCAATACAACGACACCGCAGGACTGCTGGTGGCTGACGGTGGTCTATGGGCCACAGGCGGACCAGGAAAAGGTCGAGTTCCTGGACGAGCTTCGTCAGTTTAGAATGACGGCTGATGGACCATGGGTGCTATGTGGGGATTTCAACATGATTTACAGAGCAGAGGATAAGAGCAATGATCGCCTCGACCGTCGTTGTATGCGTCGTTTCGGGCATTCATCGATGCCGTTGAGCTAGAGGAGCTCAACCTGGTCG